ATCAACTAAGAAAATTGATGAGATGGGAAAAATATCAATAGAGCAGTGTTAAATGTCCAATTTCTTCCATTCTGAGATTCTGAACATAGTGAATGATTGAATCTGACAAACTGCAATGATATGAGTTTATTTCCATTTTTGAAACTTTATTACACAATACACGATAACAAGTTTACCATCATTTTTACAAAATCAACTAACAATGTTGTAAAGATGTAGGAAATGTCAAACAAAAACTTTTACGTATCTTATTAGTTTAATAATGAGACTGTTAACATGCCTAAGAATTGAATCTGAGGAAATGTGAATAATATGCTGAAAAGTGAAAAAACAGCATAACTTCTACAATAATGGCCCGATCATGCTGATTTTCGAACTTGACCTGCGTTTTATGAATATTCATCAGCTCTGTAAATATAAAGCCAAAAAGTAAATCATCTGTTCTCCACTTATCGTGTTTACAAGGAAAGTGCACGGCGCCGGCATCGGCACCGGCATCGGCATCGCCATCGGCGACGACAGACGCAGGTGATGGCAATATGTACAGACACATCTGTGTCTGTACATAAAAAGAGATTTGTGGGAATCAGTTTATTTACGTTATTCTCATCTTGTACACAATCCTGTTGTCAGCATCTCCAATCAGCAAGGCGCAAGTATGGCTTAATCCTGCAGTGCTCTTCATTGTCACGTCAGCATGGTTGGTTAGTTGCACAGTCACAGAGATCTCTGCATGCTCACTGTTGTACTTGCTAGTCTGCACATTATTTAAAAGTAACACACATTCCTTTATTATATTTTCAATGCATGGTTTTAACATTTCCAGAAACTCTTAGGGGAGCCATCTGCAGTGACTGATGAAGAATTTCAAAAGGTAGCAGTAGTAGAAAGAGATTTACCAATCAGTGTTACTGTTTTTGATACAGGAAGTGGGGGAAGCCCTTAGGCACACAAGATCAGGCAGTGCAGTGGATCTAGACAACATTCCTGCTTACATATGGAAATGCCAACTTTTCAAATCATACCTCCCAGATGTCTGTAACAGAGCATTGATAGACCTTGAAGTCTCCCAAAAAATGGACAACTAGTGCAATAATTTCCATACCAAAATCGGGAAAACTGTCAGCCCAACAAACTACAGAGGGATAAGTTTATCCTGCATAGGAACAAAAATGTATAACAGGATATTGTTGAACAGAATAAGATCTCACATTGAACCCCTCCTCTGCTCGAATCAGAATGGGTTTAGAAAACAGCTGTCAACAATAGCTCAAATACTAGCTTTGAGAAGAATAGTGGAAGGGGAAGGAAAGAACACTCCCCTTAGCCACAGTTTTCATTGACTATCCAAAAGCTTTTGACTCAATACATGGTGACTGCATGCATGCTGAGAGCAACTGGAATCCCATCTTCCATTGTTAATCCCATGAAGGTGCTGTACTGTGGGTCAAAGGCAATTGTAATATCACCAACCAGTCACTAAATTCATATTTTGGACACCACCTGGGGGAAAAGCTAATAGAGGAAGACCAAATGTGACATACTATGGTACCATCATGAATGAAACTGGTTTGCAAACACATGAGATCTTTTCGCTAGTGAGAGAGAAACAACTCTGGTCTAAACATGTTACTGCTGCTGCTCCCATTCAGCCCAAGGCCTAAGGATGATGATAATGATGTCACACTCACTGTAAAATATTCAGGCCTACCCAACTACCAGACTTGGCACCGAATGATCCAGAATTCACCGGTAGATCAGACCACACTACCCGTTTTCAAGGTGTGCTTCTGTACGCATTTCACAGTATCATACCCAGAACAAATTTTGAGTGGTGATGCAATACTTTCCAACCTCGCTGAAAATCATCATTATCACATAGCGTAGTAGGCAAGAGCAGTGTCGTGTCTGATACTTTGAAGCGCGTACTGATACCCACCTTGAAAACAGGTAGTGTGGTCCAATCTACCGGTGAATACAGGATCATATGGTGCCGAGTCTGGTAGTTGGGTAGCCCTGATATTGGAGAGTGTTTTTTCAACTCTTACAGAAACCTATTATTGATATAATGGTACTAGACTGAAACAATTTTACAAATCACTTTAAAACTGACACTCCTACCTGCTCTATAGATATTTCATACTTTGGCAGGCCAGCAGCTGCATCCCTTAGATTATTTCCAAAGGGAGGGTGACGGTTTACAATCTAAAGGAAATAAACATTAACATACACAACTTTTATTGTATCACACATCAATTTTGTTTTGAGATTTTGACAAGTTATTTTGTATGACAGGGCCAAGTCATGTGTAAATATTTGCAAAAGAAACAAAAATACTTTAATCTGATATTCTACCAATTCAAGTTCCCTTGGGTTTGTCTCTTCTACTTTCTGGAAACTCACTACTCCAGAATTCACCAGCGCATTGGAGAGTGCAGGACCTGTATATTTACGGAAAACAAATTTTCATTGATTGTGAATTATTTGTAATTACTGTGCTTTGTTTTATCCAATGGCAGGAGGTAGAAACTGACTAAAGATGAGCTAAAAAGATAAAACTTTGCCTTTATACAGTATCCACTTCTCATGTAACAAATTAAAATTTTTGTGAATGTCCCTAAAAACATTGACCCCACAGAAATTAAAGCATCTTACCTATTCCATCCAGCTGCCTGCAGACATATTTAGAATTTTCCCAAAGTCTAGCCTTGAAGCACTTCGAAAGAATAACAGCAGACAACAAGGCTTTGAAACTACACCTCTGCCACAAGAATTCAACCAGACCTATATTAAGAAAAGTAAACTAAACTGGACCCTATCTGAGCAAGCCATTTTATCCTGGCAAATTATACATGATGTTAACTGAACACAAAACTCCTATATTTCACACTAATTTGACCTACTGTATGCATTATTTTGTATGTCATAAAATAATAATACAATGGGTAATTTTAGTGTTTTAACAATATATTTAAAAATATAGTTGTTTTGTGTTCAATTAACAGCATATTGTAATTATACATTATACATTTATTGATAAAAGCTAGTTTCAAATATAAATATTTTATATCACACATGAATGCTTTTAATGGTGACAAGGAGAGACAGCAAAAATTACCCATACAGGGTAACAGTTCTTTAAGCATCCTTTACATATCATTATCCAATTATACCAAGAAACCATGTTCTATAAACTATCAAAAAGTTTAATATTTCTATGGTTCTTTTCATCCAGGCACTTCCTACATCTTGCAACTCTTGTCCCAGCCCTGAAGATTTTGGCCATATCTTGTGAAAGTCCAAAATCCTGAACAGGTAAGCTGCCCAGCTGAGCCTGAATCAGACTGCAACAGAAATAATAAAAGTATAAAAAAGTATTTAGTTTTGATTAAAAAAAGTGAAGAAAGTACTGTTAAAACTTACCCTGCAAGTAATGGTATTAAAATACAATATCATGGTTTCCAATACATCTTTATTCATACAAGTATTAAACCATCAATCTCACAACTACCTACCAATTCACTTTCATTTCCTTTGTCTTGATTTTTCCCTCCATTGAATATCTGTAGATTAAGTATGTTCAAAATGTTATCTGCTATTTGTCAAGAATAAAGCCAATGGAATGAATGGGGTATCTAGAATATGCACACTTTAGGGTGGGTTTTCCAGATACCCTACTCATTCCATTGACTAGAATTCCTGATATTGCAAGACACTCGTGCCACGACCCTTCCTATTTTCAAACTGTGTCTAGATGGCAAACTACCCAGGTTGTACAGGGGATGGTGAATATGATAATATTATGTGTTATATTGAAGAAGGCTATTCATCTATCAGGATGTCGTTTTAAGTTTTAATTGTCGTCAGATAAGTTCAAGAGGAAGTAATTCACACACTTAGAATGTGTTCAAAATACTGGTTTAGAACGTGTTAATACTTACTGTTGCTGTTGTTGCTGCTGTTAGGCGTTATAATCTGTTGCATTGTATAATGCACTATCACTTGCAAAAAGAATACATTTTTGCTTGTGATCATACCTTATTGTGACTCTGTTTTTATCTATGTTCAGGGTGTTCAGTGTTTTTTTCTCACTGGTTCTCAACTGAATGTCATGAAATTCTTGACAGTTGGCCACCACAATCAGCTGAAAAATACAGATTTCATATAAAAAGGGATGTTAACTACTGTAGGTTTTCTGAAAAACAAATTCAAGAAAATATTGGCTTATTTTATCAAATTGTCACATTTACATGTATCCTGTTGTGACAGAAACATTTACATAGTGATAGCATAATTATGAAATGGTACAGGCCTTATAAATTAATTGGGCATTTACTAACACTATCTGCAGATCTTTTAACACTAACACCCATATTAACCACATAACCCACAAATTAACCAGCACTACCAGAGCAGATGAATGTTAGTGCTAGGTATCCATTTGTTGGTGCTAAATAATTGTATGGTGTGTTGGTTTATTCGTGGGTTTTGTGGATTAATATAGGCATTAGTGCTAAAAGATCTGCAGGTAGTGTTAGTAAACGCCTAATCTGTTTATAAGGTTTGTGGTAGAAATGTTGCAGAATCCATCCAAGCTTACCAATTCATTTAAGTTTTCAGACCCTAGAACTCCAGTGAACCTTTTCATGGTTTCATAGCCTATACAATACCTTGCCATTAGTCTGCCAGATTCTGAAAAATATGTTAGTTCACATAATCAAACAATTTCTATCTAAATATTCCCAAAAGGTATTACTATTATATACTCATGTGTTTGAATTCCTCCCTGGCCTCACTTTTTTTCTAAAAAAAAAAGTAGAGCTCTTCTTTAAAATAAATCTCCATCAGTTCATGAAGAAGCAACAAACTTAATGAAGGAATTCAGGAATAACACAGATATTACCTGTTGGTTTCATATCAAAATGGTCTTCATCCATCCATATCAGGTCAATATGGGATAGCTGATTCAGGTTCTTTAAGCATAAGTCTAAGAATAGAAAATAAGACAAGATAAATTATCTTACCCACAATGTAAAATATGTAGATGATATATGTTCAATTTCATATTTTGCACTCAACAAGCTGCAAAAGAACTATGAAGAGATAATGAGAAAACACAGCAACACTGTTCAAAGCAAGGACTTAATTATCAGTATAATCCCAAACCTGCCTTGGAGATGCTTTTCTATTCCCTCTTTGTTCAAACCTGTTGGTATTCCTGCAAATAAATAAATAAATAAATAGACATGATTTACTGAAGGAGCATAATGTTTACCACATTCTATCTGCATTTTGTGTTATTGAATATATCTTACCATAATGCTTTGGATTCTTTATCAGCCTTATGTACAGAAAAGTGGACTTAATCCATTCTAAGGCAACTGAGACATCTGTAATTGTGTTTAAAACCACTTCTGCATTCAGATGTTCTATCAAATGCTTGTGTAAACTGAAACAATAAAATACATTCACATGAATCACCATAATTTTTATAAGGTTAATCCTCAACACATAAATCAACTCCAATGTCCATAAAGCAGCATTTGATGAAGGTATATATTATCATTATTCATTATCATCATCATTCTAATTTTCAAAAGCCAGAGACAAAAATTGATGACACAACTTGGGACATGAGGAAACTGCTGAAACATCTGCATGACATAAAAATGATACAATTCTAACTTATGCATTGTTTACCTGCTTTCTATCATCTGTTTTCCCCCTAGTAATGCATCATACTTGGCCTAGAAATTGAAATAGTGAACCTGTATTAAATTTCAAAATTGTAAAGAAACTTGCAATTGTTATAAGCATAAATGACACAATGAAAATTAAGCTGCAAGGTTGACTTTTTAGAAAAAAGATAGGTTTCTAAACTTATCTCCAAAATTTATCAAAATGATCATGATCTTTTGAGACAATAACCTGACACCAATCCATTAAATATTGGCATATCAATCAATAATTAAAAAATTTAAACTATGTTGACGTCAACATGGTATTACCTTAGTACTTGCTCTGGTCATTATCACTGCTGTAGCTGACACATCAAACTGTAATACAAACAAATTTGTTCAAAATAGCAAAGGGTACATTTTATACGTTTTTTCCTTTCATTTCCTAAATTTTTTAATTGTTCAATTCTTTCTTGTTTTGCAGTTCTGAAGAAAATATGAAATTTATAATAATATACCTGTGGTCGGCCAGCCCTGCCAATCATTTGTAAAATCTGGGTCTCACTATACTCTTCATACATTCCCATCACATAGTGTTGAGTAGACTTAATTATCACTAAGTGTGCAGGTAAATTGACACCCATTGCAAGAGTGCTGGTTGCCACTAAAAGCAATTCACATTTTTGGGGCATGAAATCGATAAAATGCACTGCTTTTAAACAAAAGGTAAATATACTACTAAATTTAATAATTCATTTAAAATCTGGTACATGATATTCAATACATATTTCTACATACATTTATATTACATAGTTCTTAAAAATATTCTTATCATGAAAAATTGGTGAAAAATAAGTACCTGTATCAATATACAGAATAAACTGCTAGGTAGTACATGTAATTATCACTCACTTAAAACTGGCAACTCTCCTCTAAGGAAAAGACTCTCCAGATTCTTCCTGTCTTGCATATCAAGGCCTGCATGATGATATCCAACACCACACATCACTAGGTCTGAAAAATTGTTTACAAAGAAGAAAAATTTTTGTTCATCAATGACAATTCAATTGTTGTCAGTGTTTATTTATTTCATTATAAAATTTCTCAAAGCACAATTCAAAACCTCAGCAGTATTATAAGGTATAATAAAAAAGTTCTAACAAAATTCTATCAATACACACCCCTCAATTTGGAGTCCCTCATCACATTTGCTTCTTTTTGAAGTACTTGCTTGTGTTGGGAATTCATTATAAACCTGGCCTCTTTTACAAGCATACTGGCTGCTTGCTGGGCACTTTTTCTGGTGGCACAAAACTGAAATGTAAGATGAATCTCCATTTTTGCGCCAATATTTTAATTTATCTTTTAATTTTTTGTAATATTCCTATTCCCTAAAGTGTCAAATGCTCTTGCAAATTAATAAAGTTTTTACTAAGTTTTTCTGTTACTATTCCAGCAATATTGATCACTTTTCACCATAAAGGGCAACTAAACACTGAATGAATAAGGCTTCATTCACATGCAATGTCTATTTTCTAAATTCTATTTTCTATTCGCGGTATGTCTTATTATCACGGTCTGTGCCCTGAATATCCCGCGGCGTAATTACTGGCAGCGCGAGCCAGTTACTATAAGTTATTATAAGTAACTGGCTCGCACTGCCAGTAATTATACGGCGGGATATTCAGGGCACAGACCGTGATCATAAGATAGCATGAATAGAAAATAGAATTTAGAAAATAGACATTCCATGTGAACGAAGCCTAAAATGCCATGTGCTTTTAAAAAAAATTAATTTGAATAATCCTTGTCATTTGACATTACACATGTATAGACACTCTTGAAAACATTATATACATATACCCTACTGCACACACAGCTTTCAGAGAAAAACCAAACATACTCATACCACTAAAGTTGGCTTCTGCTCTGCATAAGTTTGGATAACACTTGATAACTTATAGTTAAGAGACAGATCAAATCTGAATTCAGACTGATTGCCAGTGCATGGATAGCCAAGAACCACTTTCCTAAGCTTGACTGGTCTGTGACTATCATCCATCCTAAAAATGAAAAATTCAAACAGGCCAGCTGTTTTACAAGTTTCTACTGTCACATTGAGGTCATCAGAGAATACAAATATTGTGTGTTTAAGTGTCTTAATTTCTGATATTGTTATCTCATAAAGCACAGATATACAAGTAAGGTGTTATCAAAAATATCAAAAATAAAACATTTTCACAATGCACAGAACAATGATTCAAATTACTTGTAAAATGATGCAGTGACTTTATCTGTACTCAACCACTCTGCTATCTGAAAAATAATTAGAACTGGTTTTACAGTTATAAAAATTTCTTGACATAATATTTTAATATTCCTTTCAACAAAGTAAATTAAAAGGAACATGTATCGAAGGAGAAAACATATACCAGGCTAGATCATTCAGAACAAGTAAAACTCCTTTCTACCACCAATGTATTATTCATGAACTGTATATACCTACTGTATAGTACTAATTAAGTGAAATGCACCCAGGAACACAACAAAATGTGCATTGCAGAAACTTGGTCACTTTAAAAAATGAAAATTAATGTTGGTTTTGGAAGATCTCATTTTTCAGCAAGAAAATAATGTGTTCATAAGATGTCATATTTGACATGTGATAACTTACATCCCCTATGTTTGGTATAGTAGCTGATATGGTAATGAACCTCATTGGTATGTCCACTTCCCCACCAGGCTCTCTAGAGATTGCCCTTCGGATAGTCTTCATTCTGCTAATCACAGCTTCCATTGTGGCTCCTCTGGTTTCATCATTCAAGATGTGGATCTTACAAACAAAAACATCATTCTATATTTCTAGATATTTTCCTCAATATCATGCAGAGTAACAGGAATTGTGGTACTCATGATGGATTTTTTAACTTAAAAAATTCAAGCTTCTCTGTAAGGTCATTTGCCTTTGGCATATCATACATATTATTATTATTATTTTTTTTTCCAAATTGCACAATAATTTTATCTCACTTACCTCATCTACCAAAAAAAGTTTTACCAGCTGGACAAGAGACTTGTTATCTCTCCATTTTCTTGTCATACTGTCCCATTTTTCCTGGTGATAATGATAATGAACTTCCTGATTATAATGATAATGACTGATGAACAATAATACACAAGTGTGAACATTCTTTCTTGCTGCTTATTACTGAAATCATTACAGATTAAGATACGGTAATGACTCGATCTTTTCAATGGGCAAAAATTATCAAACTTGCATTTTAAAAATCATAAAAATTATGTTTTTGTAAAGCATTTGTGGTGCTTTTAATGCCTAGAATAGAATTATAAGGTATAGTACGGTTTTCAATTTTATTGCAACCACTCAATAGGAATTAATGCTCTTATTTTAAGAAATTATGACTTAAAAAATACAGTTCCTGTAACAGTCACAATTTTCCCCCATTGAAAAGATTGATTCATTACCGTATTCTGCTTTGGCACATTTTTTGTCTATTCAAAGTGTGAAAAATGGTGCTGTCTTACTGGTGTTGTCATGATAATATTCACTTCCTGCAGTTCAAAGTAATCATCTAACTCAGTATCTCCAGTGAGCTCTTTGCACTTCAGTCCAAGGGGTTCAAATCTTGGCCTCCAGTCTTCATATCTTTCGCTACACAAAGCTTTGATAGGTGCCACTGAAAACATGGAAGTTAAAGGTATATTCAAATTATTATGATATTTTTTTGTTTAAGAAAAAAAAAACATCATAGTACTGACCTTACAATCATAATTGGCAAATATATCACTGAAAATATTAAATATACTGGACATTCCGATTACTGTCCATAGCTTCAAAATGTGCATATCCTTTTTCTATCCTTTTTCTTTTCAGTCACTCTATATCACTTTTACAGTCTACTAGTTATTATCAATGAAAGAATTGCAATTGTTGATAATAACATAAATACTTACTGTACACAATTTTGACATGATCTGCTACATTGAAGCTGTATTGCAAAAGTAATCTCACAATGGCTAGTTCAAATATGACTGTCTTTCCAGCCCCAGTCGGTGCACAGACAACTAAAGGGTTATCTGTGTACATAACCTGTATGAGAAGCAACTCCATATATTTTAGTAAATCACTGTAACAATTCAAAATCAAATGGCAGAGATGTTTGAATGCTTTACAGACACCACAGCATGAACTTTTCTAAATTTGCACTTTGTATAAAATCAATGTCATGAATTAAGTTTTCTGGTTTTTCTAACTTCTGATATAGAAAAAACAATCACTTGAAGCAAAAATAAGACCTTTTAAAATAATCTTACATCATCAAAAACTTTGGACTGTACCACATTGAAGTATGGAAAAGGGAAAATATTTCTGAACTGATCAGCTGTACCTCAATCAAGGACACAAATAAGCATCAGTATAACATCAAATAACAATATCTAATTTCATCATCTTTGTATGAGAATGAAATGCATAATGTAATAACAAGTAGTGATTGTAAAGAAAGTCTGCCTATAATTCATTTTCTAGAAGATATCAAATGGATACATGTTGCAAAAGAAATGATACTAAAATAACGAAAGGCAAGCAGTTTTTTTAACTTTTATATATATATACATTTTAACAACTATCAATGTAAACAATGGTTGTAAATATACAACAGTATGAAGAGATAGCTAATTAATAAAAGGTTATATTCAAGTTGGAATTAAACATATTCCAAATGACAACTTTCTTATAAAGAAAATGATGTTTTGTTTTTGCTTTACTATCAGTCCAAATATATTACAGGATGGGTTATACGAAAGGCATACATTGCATGTGAGTCATTTATATGGCAAATAAAAGAATTTTCCCAGATATTGTAGCTTTTAACATCAAGGAATACCCCATCCAAAACTGTTGAGCTACCATAATTACAATCAATAAATACATTACTGAGCTCTAATTTTTAAAAAATTTTATCGTGAATTGCACCCATGTATATCTCCATTACTAGAGTGACTCAAAAAATAGCAGCTTAGAACAAAAAAAGGATTTATAGATCTTCATAATTATGTGAACAGCTTAGACTATGATATCTGATGGTGATTAGGGGATTAATTTTGAAATCTTCATTAAAATTGCAGCTTTGCTAAATTAAGGTTCAAATATTTGTTATGTGACAGGAAATTTGAGTTTAGAGTTGTTAATTGCACAAATTGAGAAGTAACACATTTTAAACTTGAAGAAAATACAACATTCGATTGGAATTTACCAGCAGATATGGTGTTAAAACCAGGTTAAAAAACAGCAAGTAATTAAAGAAAGGATACGTAGTTCTGCAACAGACTTAAGCTTTGATATTTCTTGACTTGACCCCCCAGGTGTGATACCTTTAAAAAAAAGGAGAATTTTAATTCTTAAAGAATCATTAGAAGAACTCCATAGCTCCAAAACTCTTTGCTGAATTGAACTGTGAATGTCACTTAAAGAAAACACAAAAAAAGTTGATCTGATACCTTTTTTGTGCAATAAAATTACATCAGAATCTGCTTGGTATACCAATTGTTTCTAGTTAAACAAAATCACGAGACTTGGTCAAACCAGACTGTACACCAAGCAAGTTTGCTCATATTTTTGGGCACCAAAAAGGTTTCAAGTCATCTTTCTCTCATCTATGTTCAATATTATCAAAAGCAATTTAAATCCATTTTCATATCATAAAAATTAAAAAAAAAATGATTTTGTGTATATGAATACCAAATATTAAATTAGTTTAAATTAAGCTGTTCTGTATACCTGGAATACTCCATGGTAAAGGTGTCTCTAAATGGTCTGAATAAAAAGTGGCATTTGCTGGAGTCTTTGCTTGCCTATTACTTTGGCTGGGAAATAAATTCTTCTGAGAAGATGAGTATCTATCATAATGACTGTTAGAAAATTGAGATATCTGACTAGCAGATTCAGCTGACTCAAAACTACCAGAATGCTCTGATAGTGGGGACAAGATTTGACCAGACCTTTCTTTGTATGGTGTTTTAAACACTGGTTTGTTGAAACTGAAATTTAAGAGGCATATTGTTTTATGTGTCTATAAGAATAGTTTCAAGTTCGCTGAAAATTATCTGTTGATAATGCTTAACAAAAATTATTCCATACCATACCATACCATACCATACCATGCCGTACCATACCATACCACAAATAAACTCAAAATTTGTCAACTTTCAGGTTTAGGTGTACATCTTTCTTGCATAAAGAATGATTTTTCTTATTGGCAAGAAAGGCAGCCTTAGCTGGAAAAAAATTATACAAATGGGTGGAGAAATGGTCAGTGAAATTCTGACATTAATGAACCAAATTTTTACCTGTTGTTTCTTTGAAAGAAAGAAATCAATAATGAAAACTGTTTGTGGTATAAAGTTATGAAGGTTCCTCAGGCTGAAAGCAAATTGTTACAAATCTACACTCATTGTCACATACATAACAAACTGAAATTACTTATGGAAGTAAAATGTTTTTTTTTTATTTATATATATGGATATGTTATTAATTTTACTTCTTTTTTTATAACTTATTTTGATTACTTTTTAATCTTACTTCTTTTCCAATAATTTCAATTATACTGATACATGTACTGTCTCATCAGCAATTTTTTCTCTATTTGGTCAAGGCATCATTGCAATCAACAAAATGTGTTCATATCTTTAACAAAACAATTACAGTCATTGCCTATATATTTTGCTTTGAACCTTTTATTCTGTAGTGACAAAATGTCAGGTCTTCTTTGAGAGGCTTTTGGTAGATTCTGGATCGCTGGTGTAACTGGCTGAGTTTTTCTCTCTTGTTGAGTTGGAGGTAAAAGTTCATCCAAAATACTAGTACCTGAAATATTGAAAATTATGACACCAACATATATTCAATATTTGCCAATGCCCATGTTACCCGTATATATATATATATATATATACGTCATCAATGTTATTTGATTTTTTAACATGGAAAATATAACTACTTCATGTATGCTAAGAAAGAAAGAGTATATTACCCATTTAAAATAAATGGCATTTAAAATGCACTCAAGAGGGCTCTCTGGAAGGTTTTTATTTCAACCAATCAGAGACTGTCATATAACACTGACCAGCAGTCATTTGAGAAGTTTAAACGTTCAGTTTTAAAAGTGCTTGGCATTTTATCGCCTCACAGCACCACTTTTATCAATCTTCCCTCCCACCCACTCCATGGATTTTCATATTAAAATCACAGACTTTGGATTTTCATAATAACAGACTTTTAAATGATTGAAACTTCGATCATGGTGGGATTTCATATTGACAGTTTTTACCTCTGCCAAGGAGGTTATGTTTGTCTGTCTTTCTGTCTGTCTGTTTGTCATCAACATAACTCAAAAAGTTATGGACCAATTTTGATGAAATTTTCAGGGTAGGTCAGAAAAGGGTTAATTTAGAAGTGATTTTTTGGTGGTGATCCAGATCAATAATCAATCAATAATCAATAACAATAATAAAAAAACTAAGTTAAGGACCGATTTTGATGAAATTTTCAGGAACTGTCAAGAGTGGGCCAAGGAACAGATGATTAGTTTTTGGTGGTGATCCGGATAAATAATCAATCAATAATAAAAAATATTGAAAATTTAGGGGTGAAACGGCATTCAATGGAGACTTTACTGCCTTGGCGGAGGTCTGCGCTCTCCGAGTGCTTTTCTAGTTTTAATATGTATTTCATAACAGCTTTACACCATTTAATATATGGCCATGGTTTTGTTACATTTCATTTATTGTCTATTTGATTTTTTACTTAGTATAGTAATAAGGTATTCTCTAAGCCCGAATGTATGTATTTTAACAAGCTTAACAACTGACCTTTTGTGTATGAAGGTGGGGCTTGCGATGATTCAGTATTTTTAAATGCTTGTGAAAGCATAACATTTTCTAAATCAGTGGGTGGAGCTGGAACTGATGGTCTGATTACGGCTGTTAAAGGGAGTCTACAAAGTAATGAATGACGAACAGATATTGATACCATATCATCCTTACATGTACTTATTATAGAGAACTAAGCATATGATCAGTAATGAAAAATTGTCTACTTACACATTTTTTATTCAAAAGTGTATGATAAAAAAAGGTGTTTCTACTTTATTATTCATCAATTAATACATACTGTACAAACTCTTCAAAGGATAATTTATTGGGCAATAAAATATTATATAAACAAAGAAAAAAACTTACACTTCATTCCTGTCCTCATTTCTTTGGTCATAGAACAAGGCATCTAAAATACCATCCTTCCCATTTAAACAAGAACCGCCAGACCACATCATGAGGACAAAAACCAGCTTATGCACATTCTATACAACTTCTGAAATCGCAACATCTTTATATAGTCAGGTCTAAGTGATTTTAGTTTATCTATAAATATTTCTAATTCTGGGTTATTTTTTGTACCAGCATAACTAATTTTCTAAGCACCCTCATCAAAAGTTTGGTTATCCAAAAAAAAAAAAAAAAACTTGGACATACATACCTCAGGAAAGGAGATAGACTAATATTGGAAAATGTTCAATTTGTAAACAAAAACATGTGCAGACGACTTCCTGCCCTCGTGACCTATAACCTCCACCTATCACCGAAGGCCTAGGCATGACGTCAGCTTACAGTCGAGTTCCAGTACTGGTAGGAGCTTCAGAGGGAAACATGCTAATTATGTTGCTGTATAAATCCAAGTTAACCAAAGAAACGGCAACACTGGTAAATATTCCAAATGATACACAAAAACAAGAAGCAGCATCACTCTAAAAATCGGGGCCTATCACATGCTAATTCATAAGTCGACAACAACGGTACAAGGCATTGAAGGTGCTGTACTAGTCTTAAGCGAAAAAGGCAAGATGTAAGAGATTAACAAGAATGTCTTATATAGATATTTATCCAACACTATATCCGTCTCCAACCCTCCCACCTGAAATCATTGGTAATGATGAATGAATTTAGCACATTGTTTTAAAGCTGCCGCTCACAAGTGCACATGTCTACCCACAATGCTAGAGCAGAGGTTTGTGACCCAGTTTCTCCGCCCAAATGTAAACAAAAGGGTGCCATTCAAAGTTTGAGCGGGTTTGTTCAGCAACGCTTTATCAAAACATCTTGTGCTAGGGAGGGCACGACAAGGAGTACCAGAACGCAGGTGAGGAACTTTAACGTTATAGTTTTGACACCATACCCAAGTCATTTTTTAAGATCTGTCGTTACTGAATGTTTGGCTAAGATTCTGCCGCCTCTCATGATTGACTTATGTGTTACATTGCATGGCATTTGTTTGCATAATCAATGTTGCTCTGACAATTTTAGCCGCAAACATGCAACGCATTTATATTATTTTGCTGTTTTCTCTTATAGAATACATAAGGATTATATTTGGTTGAGTTTCAGTTTAATTTTATTCCTTTTTTGGATGTGTAGTATTGAAATTTTAGACATGATACTTTGATAGGGTCATGCATGCAATTACCTTGGCAAATTGCCTTCAGGTTATAATTAGCAGTCACTTTCTTTCCCAGCACATTCAGGAGGCACATAAAGGGGTTCCAGTTATGCATGAATTCAAAGTGTCAATATTAGAATTGTTCTCAAAACTTTATGCTTCTACTTGTGTTGAATGTTATGACATTGCCTGCAGTGGGTGATGAGTCAATAACTTTAATTTAAAACATTACAACCAGTATAATAATAACATGGGTGGGTTTTAAGCCATTTAGAATGATGCTGAGGAGTGCAACAGCAGTATGCACAAGTGTCAAGATCAGTATAACAATTATTGTTTAAATGGAAGAACTTTGTTGGTATCTTAGTTTCAATATATTTCACTGAATTAGAATTTTAATCTTTAAGTTAAAATTTGTTCAAATTATGAAGACAACAAAACTGTAAGTTAATGTACAAAATAAAATTGTCAAATCAAAATGTACTTTGTGAAGAAAGTAATTTTTACATGGTTTATTTATTGGGAATTTCACTATAAAACCATTAAACTCAGAGAAATAGTTTCTCTATGATAAAGAATGTGACTGCAAGACTTAATATTGAGTTGTTGACTCCCTGCATATAATATATAGTTTTTAGTTCTGAATAACAAAAAGTACATGGGATTTCATACTGGTCTAAATATAGCATTATTATATATTATGTTTTTTATCATAATAGAGAAAAATATTATCTAAAAGCTTAAATAGTGTTCTAAATTATTGAAAAAATTAAGAAAACGAGTAGTTGGTTAGTAGGTAATCATTAGATATCCCTTTGATAATGTTACCAATATTATTCAAAAGCTTTTGTGTCTGAAAAAGTGTTTTTACTAGGTCAGTAGAAAAAAACAACTATTATATACATCATATCATTAAGAGTCTATTTATTTGTTTCATCACATTGTAATATTACACGTGTCTTAGTAATCATGTGAAAGCATTTTCAACTGTAGTCTATTCCAGGTGTATGGTAGACAAAGCTGCTACTACTGAATTGATCAATGTGTCTTTGATGCCCCAATGTTTATGCTGGTTTAAACACAGGTATTCAAGTATTTAGGACAAATCAATAGGACGCTGGGTAGTTCATGTAGCTGCCATTGTGCTTAACAGGGAGAACAGAAAACAATTATGTTAATCCATTTGTGATCCACCCCTTTGCAGAAAGTGGAGTTAACTTGACAATGCAATAAAGGATAGATTGGAGACTACTATAAAAACATGTATGCCATATACGAGTACTCGCATATATTCAAGTTATAAATCACCTGGTCAACATATAATGAACAAATACAACCTAGATATTTTAGTATCTAGAGCTGTTTTGGCAGTTTTGATAGTTTTGATCTAAACCGAATTAAGATAAGGATTTCAGACGGGACTGTTAGAGAGGTGTGTTTCACCTAAAAATTTGAAGAGATTAGCAAAATGGCAGGTAGGGTACTACATCTGTTTGCTTGATTTCAAGGACCTAAAGGAATGTGGGAGAAGAGTTTCAGATATATTTGATTTTCATTAAGTTTTGCTCCCAAGGGGGTTCTTTTCATACTTCTTTTAGTAAATTTCATTTACCTTGTTGAGGACATTTATTGTATTGTTGTATACATATATTTTATGCAACACAATGGCATTTTAACACAGCAATTGAGTTTTTGAGGGAAACTGCTTTTGGGGGTGGTAAATGGTTATCTCTGTTGAATCGATCAGATCGGATATACCTCTGCTTACATATGAAGTACTATTAGTCCAACAGTAAATTACAGGCTAAGTTGTGAATCAAACAATACACCACTTGGATCAATTACCTCCTGGCACCAAGTCCAGTGTACTCAGTCAAGGGTAGCTTTAGAAGTCAGGTGTCACTGGGTGGGGGACCACAAGGCCTAAACACAGATTAAGGAGAAGTAAAAGGAATGAAATTTGAGCATAACGGTATTTACTTGTTCTCAAAATTCCTCCTCTTATATTCAATTCATCCCATACACAAGGCATTGAATCAAGCTGTTGATTTTAACCCTGCTTGATACCTTCTACCATGCCCACAACAATAACAGTACGCTGTTATTTTTTCACAGGCATGAATTTAGAAGCTTTAATTTATATATTTGTTTTATTAGAATCACAATATGGGTAATGTTTGTAATAGGAATGTGTATATTAATGCCTGTTACCTGCTTTCTTCATTGTAAAGTCCTTGGTTAAGAGTTGACCAAGTGGAATTGTTTTTACAGATTTGTAACTTTTGGTGTGCCCTCATATTGAAGTGAGTTTAACACAGAAGTATATACAAGTTATGCAGTATAAACAGTGGTTTATGTGATAACTAAGCATTTTTTGGTAATTTTTTATGACAACAAGACTTAACAAACTTGATAGAGATGTAACTAAGCTGCATTTAAAATTAATCGGAAGATGAAATTATATGAAGGTCATTGATTTTAAGAAACATCAAGTGCGCTTCAAGACTTGGAAGAAACAATTTTGGAGGGGGCCACTTCATACCCATTTTGATATAAATTCTCAAAGTGACTGATCATTTTATTTGCTCTTGTCGAGGCAGAGATGGATTTGTATCACCTAGTGTTTATCAGTAAAGGGTGTCATCTTTTGATAGTGCAGTTTGGAGAGTACATAGAAGTGCTCTTCAGCTACACAGTTAAAGTGAGGCTACACTTCCCATTTTTGTGTTATCACTGTGATACACATAATCAAAGTTTACTTGAGTTACTGGCAGCCATGATTTGTTTATCTTTGTAAATAGGAGCTGAGTTAAATTGACCACACAATTGCTGTAGATGCCTAAGTAGTACTGGAAGGCAGGTTATTATTTGCTAACATATTTTGTGCATGTATAAACTGGCTATTTGTTTTCCTAACTTTGTTTGTGCTGGAACCCATCATTTGATGGGTCCTAGATTTGTGGTACCATTTTGTTTTATAATTTTTTCAAGATCCTTTTTAGAATACTTCATCATTCTATGATGCACAGTGCAAGAAAGCATTGTAATAACTTCCTGCCAAGTGATTTAATCCCAAAGCTTTAGAACATTTTTGTTGTTATTTTAGTTTTGAATCAAAATGAGACAGCAAGGCTCATGAACCCTACTGATAATAGCTAATAAATAATTTAAGTCTCAGATATCAGACATATGAAAGCAACTGACCAGCAACTTAAGAAATCTTTGTGATAGCAATTGTACTTGTAAATGCCTGAGCTTTACAGAGGCTGTAAAACACAATCTGATAGCTTATCATATTTCTATAGATTAAGTATTCGATTATCCAGTCACAGATATGGCAGTTTAATGTAACTGCATTGAACACATTTGCTTTTGTGTTCTGCTGACAACTTTGTAGAGCACTATTGTAAAGATTTGTACCTGGATTGAAAGCTTTTTAGTTACAGGCAAATGTCAACAAATAGGAGGTAAATCTTTACATCCTGCTCCAGAAAAGAATTTGTGAACCAGGACATTGGTATTGATACTAAATTTATTATCGAATGTTCTGAAAAAAATACCCTGTTATCTTGTTTAGCTGACAAGACAGAAGCATAAGACAGAAGGTAAAGGTAATACACACAGAAAAATAATAAATATCAAAGTCACAGTATGAGAAAAAGATGCATATAATGAAAAATAAGAAGTCCCTGTGTGTCTTGGTGTCTTTATTGACCCCACCTTCAATAATTGTCAACCTCGCTCAAGTATCCATCTCAGTATTTTACCAATTTTATCGCGCCGCTTGGTTGTCAAAGTGTTACTGCTGGAGCAACACATGGTGACTCCCACTCTCGCCACCAACACCAACCAATTATTGAACCGAGCAAATTTCTTCCTCTCGTTTTATATAGGAACTATAAATCCATTTTTGTATGCATAACCAAATCACGGACAAATCCTGGAGACAACTGTGGGGCTATAAGTTTCATCTGTGTTTAATCTTCAATTTTCAGTCTGAAAATAACACATTTTTTAATGTTATTATAAAGGTACATAAATTGTCTGCTCCTAGCAGAATGTTCTAGTTCAACATAAGCCATTTGCCTCAATATAGATGTTCGCACAGAGTTGCAATACATTTTAGAATTTGTTTACTTCATTCTAACTTCATGAGATTAAGCAAACAGTATTTCCCTGCTCAGTTTTGTTAAGCAAATAGTTTGTTGTTTATTAACCCCTAAGTTCTTTTACAGATTTTGGAAAGTGCATCCCCTTTTTCTTAAAGCAAACTGACATGTTAAATGTTACCTGACAGTAAAGCTGATTTAGGCCTTGGTGTCATGTTTTATTTTAAGTTCCTTCAACGGACACTTTCTGGCTGAAAGCTGTTTTGAAATGTGTTCACAGGTAGTAACATTTGAAGATTAGTAACTTAAAGGCAGTTGAAGAAGGAGCTGAAAAGATGGTTTCTCTAGTTTGAATAATGCAAAATTATATGAATTAGGTTGTTTACTTTTTATTATAACCCGTTATTCTTGTGGAGAGCAAATAAGTAAGTTCTGTATTCCTTTTCTCAGTTCCATTCAAGTAGGCGTAAGGTTGGTTCTTTAAATGAATTTTTCACTGCTTAGGTATAGTTAAATAATAGCCTAATGATGGTATTATTTTAAAGCATATATAGGATTTGAAGAATTTTAAAAATTAGATGTGTCCTTTTTTGACAATTGATGAAAAGTTGCCAAGTTAGGTAGTCTTTGGACTATGTAACTACCTATGGGTGATATATTGGATTACTGTAGTCCCTTAAACAAGTGGGAGCAGCTTGTTAGCCTATATATTTCACCATCTAAAGGTCGGCCTTGGTAATGTGTCATGGAAACCGGACTCATAGCGTCTTTCTGGTAGCAAGGACATTAAAATGGAGGATCAAGAGTTTTTTGTTGAGTGGTTTCATTGGGGTGAGAGAATATATAAATACAACTTTTTTGATAAGTTAGAAAAACAGGAGCAGTTGGTGGTAAACTGAAGTTCATATATAGTATAGTTATTATTTATCCACATATATGTGCTTGCCAAAATGCCTGCAGAGAAGAACTTCTCTAAGTGTAATTACCAAAACACGTCTTTTATTTTTACTGATAGAATATGACACTAGCAGTGATGCTGAGACAGGGACAGAAACTGATGTAGATATACAAGAATTTGAAACAAACCAAAGAAATCAGGTAAGGTAAAAATTATGGTGAGTTGAGAATGTAGCAGTAAGACAAATATCAGAATAATTGAAGTTTTTTATTATTATTAATTAATTTTATATATATATATATGAAAGAAAAAAGAAGAATGTATAAGGTACATTTCTAATGAATAATATAAAGCTTCTGCCTTGAAAATATAATGTGATCTGTAGAAAATTCACTGCTATTGATCAGATGAATCTTGTTAATTCAGTCATGTGTATGAATATTGATCAAGTAAGCTTAATACTCTGGGATAAAAAGAGGGATCATTATGTTGTTACCTGATTTATTCACATTGGTTTTCAATGAAACTATATGATATTACAAACTATATTTGCTTTGAGTATTAAAACTACTGCTGGCAAAGTGAAGGTGTTGGTTTGAGTAAATATTTGCTGCTGTAGGTCTGCAACAAAGGGTCGTTATGCCTGAGTTTTGGGAAAGTATTAATCCGTTGTTTTTACAAGTGTCAATGTTAAAACAGTTATATTGCTTTAATTTGCAGAAAATGCCAAAGTATGAACATATAGACTTGCAATCTGGTATTCTGGGTTGCATTTAAGTGATTTATATGTGGTCATGACACTGAGATACCTTTTACCAAGAAATGCTTCACCACCAGCAGCATACAGGGAAATTGTAATATTTAGTTACTCCTGTGATATTCTTAAAGCACACACACACACACACACACACACACACACACACACACACACATATATTAAGGATATATCTAGATAAATTGTTTTGATGTTTGCAATGTTTTGATGTAAATCAATTTCTAAGGATGGTTCTCTTTCTGAAAAAAAATACTGATCTTTTTACTCTCTAATTTTACCAAACCTGAAAAAATAGTATAATAGAACCTATACCAGAATTTGATTCAGAGCAGATCTTATTCTGGTCAAAAGGGTGGTTCTTTTAAACCCCCCCCCCCCCTCCAACACACCTCCCTAATGAAGGACCAGCATGTTATTTAAAACACATCACTTATAATTGATACCACAGAATAGAGTTGAGACTAATACTCTCCTCATTCCTCCTCCTAGTTTGATGCCATGGATGCTTGTGATGCAGATGGTGAATGGAGTGAGGGATCTGAAGAAGAGGCAGCAGCCCTCTCTGAGCCAGATTCTGAACACAGTGAACCTGTAAAATCACCAAAGAAGAATGTATCGAAAAAGAATAAAAAACAGCAACAAGACAGCCAAGAGAAAAAGCAACAAGAACAAAGACAATCAAAACAGAATCTTGGCAAAAGTAAAGAACTGTCATATTTGGGGAGAAACTCACCCCTTAGAACAAGAACACAGTCTTTGCAGTCTTTGCAGAGTACCAAACTGCAACCAGTACTGAGCTCTGAGAACAAAAACAAATCCCTTTACAGATCAGTAGATGACATATTGGATAGAATTGACACTGAACTTCTGGCTTTGACAGCAGTACAGGTAAATGTTTCTTTTTGCATGTGCCTTAACATTTCATTTGGTCCTCAATTTTATTATTAGTCAAGTTTGTACATGTATGTAAGTACTAGTAAATTTTGATTTGTTTTTTTTCTAATTCAGAATACTAATGTTTATATATTATATTATATTATATTATATTATATTATATTATATTATATTATATTATATTATATTATATTATATTATATTATATTATATTATATTATATTATACAGGGTGACCCCCCCAAAAAAAAAAAAAAAAAAAAAAATTATTAAATCCTACAAAGGGCCATCAAATTTCAGGACTTAAACTTTAATATATATATGATCATTCCCCAGAGTTTCAGTTATTTTGGTTGCTTTGCATAAAAGTTATGTTTTTTTAATATGCTCCAAAAGGCTTCCGAGGCATTGGATGCACACTTGCATATGTCACGAAAAAATTGTCAATTTCTAGAACATATTCCTCTTTTGGGATTTTCCTGATTTTTGGTATGATTGCTAACCCCACTTTACTAATCACTTGATGCTTGTTCACACTTTTTGCTGATCAGCCACTCCTGAAATTGCTCTCTCAGTCAGGCTAGGGAGTAATTTGATGTGTAGGGATGGACCTGTCTTGCTGGAACCACTGTCCATCTTGATCAATGCCTCTGAATTGTCCCAGTGATGTCCAAAACTTCCTCAGCACTGCCACATAGCGATTTTGGGAGAGACTGATCAGCAGGAATGGATGTTGAGTGGGCATGGCATTTACCATACTTGAACCCCCCTCCTGATTTTTTCTGTGGGGGTTCCTCAAGGATAAAGTATAAAGTATACCAGAATCACCCTCAAATGATGGGTGAACTGTGGGGAGCAATCAAGCAGAAATAAGGGAATTCCCAGAGGAGAATTGTGTTTGAGAAATTGACAAAATTTACGCGCTGTATGCAAGTGTGCAACCAATGCCTCAGAAGCCATATGGAGGATATTTCGAAAAGAACATAACTTTAATGCATAGTGAACAAGAAAACTGAAACTTTGGGGAATGATCATACACATGTTGAAGTTTAAGTCCAGCAACTTTCTTGAAATTTGATATTAGGCCACACTTTTTTATTTTTATGGATGACATCCTCTGGGGACCCCAAAATCGGTGCGAGCGGGCGAAAAAAAAAAAACAGTCCAAAAAAAAAAAAAACTGCTTAAGAAAAGTTATGTTTTCAGTACACAGCTGGAAACACTAATTTACCACAGAAACACGTATCAAACTAACAACATGTCTTTATCCAAAATATTAAAGCATTGTGAATAGGGCCTACTTCGTAGAAAGGTAAAAAGTCATGAATATATATATATGCTGCATATTACCAAATCTATTTAAGGTTATTTCATGCATTCTGTTGGTATAGCAATCAATAAAACAAATATCAAATAAACAGCGTGTCTTTATTTGTACTCTCAGAAAATTTAAGCATTGTGAACATTTCACAGAATTGTTAAAAAATGAAGCAAAGATAGGCCTATGCTTCCTACTACCAAATCTAAAAAAGGTAATTTCGGTCGATGCCATTTTGTCTACTTCGACTCACACGTAGCAGCCAACTATTGGGTGGCCTGTCCAACCTTCAGTCCACCAAATACCACGACGCTCTTGTCGACCCTTTTTTCGCTACAAAAAAAAACCCCGGTAAGCCTATGTGCTGCTTTGGACAGAATGTCACTGAAATTTTCCGGGCGATGATCGCTGGCCGCGGCCAGCCTTTCGTATAATTGTAAAAAGGTGATATCTCCATGTCCAATATCAATGGCAAACCAATCCAAAACGACGGACCCCGTTCTCTTTATGACTTTAATTGTCGTGTATTTTGAAATTAATGCTTGAGATGAATTTGACGGCAAAGCGGCCATATTTCCACGTGGTGATGATACGCATGCGCAGAAAGTTCATTTTCCGCACTCGGAACTACTCGGATGTCTCCGCAGTCGACAATGACAGCATGGAGCTTGCGGAATTAGCCGAGGATTGCTGATTGCATTTCCGGCAAATTCAATAACGACGTTTGCGACAACCGACTTCCTGGGGGGGGGATTTTTTTTTTTTTTTTTTTTTTGGAGAACGGATGAAAATCGGTGCGCGCGCAGGATGTCATCCATAAAATTAAAAAAGTGTGGCCTTATATTATATCATATCATATCATATCATATCATATCATATCATATCATATCATATCATATTATAAAGACTCAATTGTGTTTCACAGACCAGTTTTCCATCATCAACACCCCTATCCAATGAAAGGAAGCGTTTAAGCAAGTCTGAGAAAGATCTGCTGAAATGTCAAGGTGTTGAGTTTGACACAGCAGATGAAGTAGATGTTCACCCTAAGCTCCAAGGTGGGTATTATTTCAAGGAAAGGGACAAAAAATGAAAAGTTGTTGAAAATTTTGATTTTCTCATTTTCAGATACCTTACTGACACATAATCATTTTTTAGCTGATAACTTATGTAGACATTAGAGACATTTTTCAAGAAAAAAAATTTTTTTCAATTCCTCATACTGTTTTAATAGTTCCTAATTTTTAAATCTATATAACAACAAATATATTATTAACTAGACTGTTTTAGTTCAGATCCACCACCACCATTCACACTAAAATTCGCAAGTCCAGTAATAATCATTTAGCTGTACACTGATTGATTGCATTCAGTGAGAGTCCATGCAGAGTTGGATCAGTCTACATAGAACAATGAATGAATGAATGAATGAATGAATGAATGAATTTTGCCATAGTTCATCAATGGACTGTTGGCCTCCTTTCATAAGCATGTCTATAATCTTGCTCCACACCATCCTGCCATATAATGATTATGTTAGTCATCCATATCATCAGTTCCTCCTTCAATAGATGCTAACACCAATCTCTCACCTCTCCTCTTCCAATGTCCAATACTTTCTGATCTTTTGCTCTTGGACTTCCTGCAGCATGCTATGGTCTTCTACTATTTCAACTTGTTGTCTAACCCACCCATTTGTTCTTTTCTCTGTCCATTTCAATCTAAACACTCTTCTCCACAACCACATCTCAAAGGCATTGAACATTTTCTCTTCTTGTTTTCTGTACACTGATTTGTTTTCTGAGGGTCCACGCAGAACGATAGTTTCATTGAAAATGAGCCTTAAGATTTGATCTTATTCTGGAACAAATGGTCAAATCTTCTGCAGCCTGAATGTGTTAAGCACACTATGATTGTAGCATCTAATTTTTGCTACCACTCATCAGAGCTAAGTGTTTCCATATAGAATAACAGATAAATCAGAAGCTGGAGGCCAGATTACACAGTCATGTACCACTAACATATAGCTCTTTTTTTTATTCAGTTGTGGATATAATCTGTGGTATTCTTCTGTAAAATAATAATTTTGTAACTTGATTCTATATAATTTCAAGGATTTAGGATATATATCACAGAAAACCCTTGGTCGTTTTGACAGCTCATTGAAACCAGTTCAGTTTGAAATCTTTATCATACAATACAAATTTTGTTTATTTGGTTATGGTATATTTGATATGACTTAACCTCTACATTTGCTCCTTGTATTTGTAAGAGAAAATAGTGTTCCCTTGTTTTTTTTTCATCAATGATTACTGTATTTGATGCCAATCATCTCACTTATTGGTATTTCATGTTGCAGTGAAATGCGTAAATGAAAATTTCTGTTATTTAAAACATTCCTATATCAACTGGATGGGCCTAGGGGGTTTAAGACCAACATTTCAGTTTGACCCTGTGTAAATGTGCACTTGTCCTCTAAAATGATGATACTTTTTACATTTTCATTTTTTTTTTGTAATGGGTTAATATACACTAAATATTGGACCTTAAAGTTAAATCTAGCTTTTAGTTAAATTTTCATATACAGGCACTTACACTGTAAGTGTCTATATATATTCTGATTGGTCTATCTGTCTGCGCCATAGCTGTCACTGTTTAACGCCTGGCTTTCACCCCATAACTGCCAAACCATATTTCTGTTTTACCTTAAAATTCCTGAGTGTCCTTTTTTTGTTAAAGAAGCAGGTAGCTTTTGAAAATCAGCATGATTGGTTTACATTTACGGTAATTATTCTGTTTTTTTTTTTTTTGGCACAATTTTGGTGACATTTCCCCCCTGACTGCCAGACCGTATTTTTGTTTTACTTTAAATTAACTGATAGGCTTTGTTTGGTAAAGAGGCAGGTTGCTTTCGAAAATGATTGGTTTACATTCACAGAATTTTCCCTTTTTTTTTTCATTGTCTTTTATATCTCATGGAACTGAATCACCTGTAGTGCATAATGTTAGAGGGTAAGAGTGATTATGCCATTTTCAAGCATTATGTAACAGTGCATCAAAATTGGCCAAAACATTTATTTGGTGCACTTTTTTCTGCGTAATGTCTGAATTTTTGTCAGCTTTGTTACCTTGTTTCCTTTATAGTGTCTGTATATTTGTAAGCTTTGGTGTCTAGTTTTTTTTTTTTTTTAAGAAGCATCTTGGCTAGATGAATTAACTTCTTTTCTATCAATCTATTTGATCAATAATATTAAATCAAAGGTGTGTGGTTACTATTCCAATTTGGGTCACAGTAACACACTATGGCCAGCAAATATATTTGGCAGTGTAACTGATTTATCACACATCACCTAAGGCAATAAAATCTCAAAATTGCGACACCTGCTTTTATGAAGTGCAACTTGTGCACTCATATAAGTAATAAACTTTGCAGGTTATATTAATACTGCAATCTTTCCCTCCACTTAGAAGAACTAGGAAGATAGGAAACATTTCAAGTGTATGTTAGTTAAATGCATCTTTAGGACTTTCAGCATATTATGGGGTTTCAAATTCTAGATCTTGTCAAATTTTAATGGTAGGCCTCCGGTGGAAAGGTTCAGGCAACTTTGGAAGACTTGCTAATTCGTATGAAAAGAAAGATAAGAAATTAGAAATGAAACTTTTAGGGAATCAGTATTTTTTCCTTTGTTTATGATTTTAGTACTGGCTTTTTTTTTTGGGGGGGGGGGGGTAATATTTGCAATGAGAACAATCACATATAGTGATGCAGTATATATTCCTAAGACATAGTTCAATACTTAGTTCAATACCTGTTTCACGCTTTACCTAATGGCAACAATATATGTAATTCCAGATCAGCAGTCTTTTCGCACCCTATCAGACAAGGATGGTGCTGACACGGGTTTAGGCAGCGGGAGCATGATGGACAGCATGATATCTCTTTCTACTGAAATAGATCTCCACCAACCACAACAGCAACAAGAACAAGGAGACAGGTTACAAGACTTACAGCAGCAACTGGAAATTGTATCCGAGGAAGAGAAACAGTTACAGGATGGGGCAGATGAGGATCAAGAATTAGACACAACAATGAAAGAAGAGGAACAATCTGAAAGTGATGGTAAATAAACATCTCAATGTAGAATGTACACATGTAATAGGGGTGTTTTATTTGCCATACACCCAACTGGTTGTGTCATTCATATTTCATTAAGATAAAGTACCTGTGTGTGATTACTACTAATTTCATATTGGAAAAATAAAAATTTCATAAAATGTTTAATTTCAATAATGCTGCTGTATTTATGAATTGAAGTATGCCTTGCTATTGCCATTGCTGCTTAGGTTATCATTATATACATATTGTACTTAATCTTCACAATAGTGGTGTATTTGGCTACAATTAACCCTCTCTTAGTTTCACATGATAACTTTGTGTAATTATTTTGTCAAAGTTGGTGAATTTCACTGATAAAGATATCTTAGATGTTTGCAGTCTGCTCCCCTTTTTTAAAATCATTAATACAGGTTGTGTGTTGCCTGACTATTAATCTCGTTAATGCTGTGATTTATATAGATATAAGTACACAGTAGAGCATGCCTTATTTATCCCTGGGGTATGGAAGTCTTTGCTGCATTTAATGTCACACACAATACACCTGTGAAAGCAGCTATCCATTATGGTAATAAACAGATTTTTTTGTGTAAAATGAGCATGACTGATTATATCAGGTACATGTGGCATTGATATTCATTATCTTTATAGTTCTGTTATAGTATAAGCTGCACCTATTATATGAGCTGACTTGTTTTTCAGATGAAGAAGATCAGGAATTTCCAAAGGCAGATAGTGATCTTGATTCAGATACTGCACAGCAGATAGAGGAGAAATTTCAAGCAATAATGAAAAAGAAGAGAGGTAAGTCAAACACCAGTGAAGTGCAATAAGACAAGAGTTGTGGCATACATTTGTAATCATTTTGATAAATTGTAGCTAATTACTTAGAAATAAAAGAAGTTATTTGTTGAAAATTGAAGTTGTGCTAATTATGATTTGCTTTTTGTGTTGTTAATAACTTACTTATTGCCCAGTGTCAAATGATTGAATATGGTGCACATGTATATTGTTTTTTTTTTTTTGTGATTGTTTGCATGAAGCATGTTAATTTATCCTGTTGTTTTTTCTTTGCTTCTTGAGTTTGTATGTTCTTTTTTTTCACAATTGCTGTAGTTTTGCTCCTAGTATATCACTTTAACCAGCTTAATTACTTATTACACCCTGTTTGAGAATGCTAGATCACCAAAATACTCAGGATAGGGGTTCTGCATAAATAAGCAATGATACTTATATCTGGATATAATTTATATATGTATATCCAAAATGATTGAAGTTTGGTCACATGTTACATGGAAAATATTTGTACCTCCAGCACAGCACTGGCGGTACACATGGTTTTAGTCCCACCCCCTCTCGTCTTCCGTATCCGCCAGCTCCTACACCATGTCACCAATACCGCTCATCCTCCTAAACTACAAGAGCCTTCGTACCCATCTCTTGGATTTAGGTCACATATAATCTCAACTCATTCCACATAAATTTTGGGCTTTGTTGGTGCTTGGGTCTAGGTGTGGCGCTTGTGGCAATGTATCCTTGTCCAAAATTTGCAAAATTAAATGCTAAATATCTCCCAAACCAAAGGAATTATGGGAAAAAATTTCTATAGATGGCTGACAGAAAATCATATGTGGAGATTTCGAATACGCCCTTGGATTTGAAATTTGTCGTCAATTTCAAGGTCAAATGGGCCAAAATTTTCTAAAAATGGCAATTTTTTGCGAGAAAAAATTATTTGTGCCGATTTTCAGAAACTACAGAGACCTAACCTATAATGTTATAGACAGGTGTTACCCTTAAGGTCATCTTTCATCTTCATGAGTTTAGGGTAAACTGTACATTTTCACGGAAGAAGCAGCCATTAGATGCAGAAACTGAAAGCTCTCTCTAATTCTGGAAGCATAAATGCTAGAGACCTATTGTTTTGTGCATTTTGTAGAGCTTGTCAAGTGCAACACTGAAAGTGGTGTCCATTTTCTTGTTTCCATGTGGTTTACCAGTTGCGCTATATCAAAAAGTACTATGTGGTGGTGAAAATAAAATGTGAAATATGGTAATTTGCCATGAATTTTAAATGTCAGAAAAATATAGCATAAGGCATAGCAAGGGATGGACAACTTCCAGTCAAAACTGACAGAATTTCATGAAATTCAAACATGTGGAATTTCTGAGCACCTTCCGCCTCATGAATTTTGGCCAGAATGATCTTTTGGTTATTTCAATTAATTGCTTCTGTACAAAATTCATGGCACGTTACTGTACCTCCAAAATTAGCAAAGATACACCCATAGTTACTATCAAACTTGAATAGGAAGTCATATACATTTAACTGTGACCTTGAAATTGACCTTTGACCTACTTTTCATCATGAACTGAACTTTGCAAGGTTTCTGTCCCTTACATCTCCAAAACTAACAGAGATATGCCCATAGTTGCTATTAAACTTGAATAAGAGGTCATAAACTGGCAATCTAACTGGGATCTTGAAATTGACCTAAGACCTACTTTTTGCCATGAACCTTGCTTCACAAATTTGTATTTAAACTTTTACTTTTCTCCATGATTTTGTATTTAAATTGTTATTTTCAACAAAAATATTGAGAATTCTTGTTTACTGCATTTTTTAGAGCTTGTCAAGCACAACACTGGAGGTGGTGTCCCTTTTTTTGTTTTGTTTTGTTTTCCATATGAATGCGCTTACTCCAGCTGGTGGTACAATACCCAGAGGCGCTATCGTCTCTTTGATCATCTGGGTTTAACTTACTCTTATCTAATGTGCCTCTTCGTATACAGACACACAAGTGTCTGAACACATTATCACCTGTGTCTCCCACATCATTTCAGTAGGAGGTAGAACCATGCATATTAATTTTTACGACACTAAATGAGATGCAGTGTTACAATTTTGCTTCAGAATCATTGAGGTTACTCATTGTTCTTAGTTGCTGGTCTAGTTCAATAGTAGACATAGCACAATTATTCCTTATATTTTATTGAAATTTCTAAAAATTTCAATGACTTTGACCTTGTGGATACTGTAGCGTCCAAATGGTAACTCTGTTTCAGCTGAAACCTGTGGGTGTTACTTGAAGGCCTTCCTCCAACTCTTTAGCTTAATTAAACATTTTTGCCTTTATAAGGGAAATTTTACATCACTTTCCGGGTCCAGAAACATATCCCTGATGATAAGCAGACTATTTTGATAATAAAATGTTCCTGAAGTTCATGTTTGAATGCTCAGCATGCTCATTGCCTTACCCATCCCCACCACTCTGAGCTCATTCCTACTCATACACTGAGACAGCTTATGTCATTCCTACTCATACACTGAGACAGCTTATGTAGATGTACCTCTTTTACAGCTATTGAGTTGTACTCTTTTCAACTCTACTTTTGAACCCCAATATCTAAGCTGTTTCTTTTTGCATGTCTCTAGATTTCTGATTGTGTTGTTATAAGAATGGGTTATTTATAATAACTTTTAGCTAATATACATTTTAAAAAAGATATTTATTATGGAATTTATCCTTGTATTTTATGTATATTATCTAAACATCTGACTAGACTGGCTTGATCCCATATTTTGTTAGTCTCACATAAGCAAAAACCTTAAAATTCATACCATTGCACAACATTATATATGTGTATTGAAAAATGAAATTAACATGCCAAGTAGTGCCCCACTTTTGTGCTATGATAATAAGCGGGTTTCGTAGTAACTGTAACTCATAGTTTGAATGTTGAATAGTATTGCCTATTGAATCAAAAGAATTTCAAGAAGCTTGTTCAAACAATGTTTGCAAACATGTATTCTCACTTGGCAGTGAGGCATAAAATTTGAGTGACTGAATACTTAAGTTGTCATTGAGGTCTTAATTTACACGATTAGATAAATGAAATAGTCTGCATGGTTGCCTTAGATTAATACTTGTGCACTATTATTAGTTTAACACATGGTACATTCTTGCCTGGCATGTTCCGTTTGTGCTTGTACCACAAAATTTTACATTATTTAGCATTGGATAGGCTTTGAATAGGTTACGATTTCAAATTTGAATTTGCTGAACAAGTGCTGTGGAAGCTTCCAATAGCTGAAGACATTTTGTTGTAAGTGCATTTGGTGTTATTATGATAAAGATCACGTAAATTTCACTTGATTATTTTCGCATCAATTTTGCAAAACAAAAAAGAAATTGGATGAAACATTCTCAGAATAACACATAATTTTGCCAAAACATTATCAAAAGGGGTTTGATATTTAAACACATCAATAGCAACAGGATGAAATGGCAATGTATCAAATGAGTTGTATTGAATATTATTATCAAAGCCACTGACAGATTATTGGTGACTAAATTTGTTGTGAAATGTTTCTCGGTTAATGCCATACAGTGCTGAAGCAGTGGCAACCAGAGTGTGTATACCACCACTGCATATTTTATAGCGTATGTGCTGATGAAACTGAAAAACAATATCAAAGTAATGAACAGTCATTTCAGGTGTCATCTGTCGCATGAGAGACTTGAGGTTTCACACTGCCAGAGTTTCAGGTGACAACATGATATACAGTATAGTCATCAGGTGGCTAAAAGTGTACTATGTATGATTAGCATTTACAGGCTAACATATATGTCTTCTGAATTTGTTCAATGCAGAATTGTAGAGTTGAGTTNTCCTGTTGTTTTTTCTTTGCTTCTTGAGTTTGTATGTTCTTTTTTTTTCACAATTGCTGTAGTTTTGCTCCTAGTGTATCACTTTAACCAGCTTAATTACTTATTACACCCTGTTTGAGAATGCTAGATCACCAAAATACTCAGGATAGGGGTTCTGCATAAATAAGCAATGATACTTATATCTGGATATAATTTATGTATGTATATCCAAAATTATTAAAGTTTGGTCACATGTTACATGGAAAATTATTGTACCTCCAGCACGGCACTGGCGGTACACATGGTTTTAGTCCCACCCCCTCTCGTCCTCCGTATCCGCCAGCTCCTACACCATGTCACCAATACTGCTCATCCTCCTAAACTACAAGAGCCTTCGTACCCATCTCTTGGATTTAGGTCACACATAATCTCAACTCGTTCCACATAAATTTTGGGCTTTGTTGGTGCTTGGGTCTAGGTGTGGCACTTGTGGCAATGTATCCTTGTCCAAAATTTGCAAAATTAAATGCTAAATATCTCCCATACCAAAGGAATTATGGGAAAAATTTCTATAGATGGCTGACAGAAAACCATATGTGGAGATTTGTGCCCTTGGTGCCCTTGGATTCGACCTTTGACCTCAATTTCAAGGTCAAATGGGCCAAAATTTCCAAAAAAGGCAATTTTTTGTGAGAAAAAATTATTTGTGCCGATTTTCAGAAACTACAGAGACCTAACCTATAATGTTATAGACAGGTGTTACCTTTAAGGTCATCTTTCATCTTCATGAGTTTAGGGTAAACTGTACATTTTCACGGGAGAAGCAGCCATTAGATGAAGAAACTGAAAACTCTCTATAATTCTGGAAGCATAAATGCTAGAGACCTATTGTTTTGTGCATTTTGTAGAGCTTGTCAAGCGCAACACTGAAAGTGGTGTCCATTTTTTTGTTTCCATGTGGTTTAATTACCAGTTGCGCTATATCAAAAAGTACTATGTGGTGGTGAAAATAAAATGTGAAATATGGTAATTTGCCATGAATTTCAAATATCAGAAAAGATGGCATAAGGCATCGCAAGGGACGGACAACTTCCAGTCAAAACTGACAGAATTTCATGAAATTCAAACATCTGGAATCTCTGAGCACCTTCCACTTCATGAATTTTGGCCAGAATGATCTTTTGGTTATTTCAATTAATTGCTTCTGTACAAAATTCATGGCATGTTACTGTAACTCCAAAATTAGCAAAGATACACCCATAGTTACTATCAAACTTGAATAGGAAGTCATATACATTTAACTGTGACCTTGAAATTGACCTTTGACCTACTTTTTATCATGAACTGAACTTTGCAAGATTTATGTCCCTTATATCTCCAAAACTAACAGAGATATGCCTATAGTTACTTTTAAACTTGAATAATAGGTCATAAACTGGCAATCTAACTGTGATCTTGAAATTGACCCAAGACCTACTTTTTGCCATGAACCTTGCTTCACAAATTTGTATTTAAACTTTTTCTTTTCTCCATGATTTTGTATTTAAATTGTTATTTTCAACAAAAATATTGAGAACTCTTGTTTACTGCATTTTTTAGAGCTTGTCAAGCACACCACTGGAGGTGGTGTCCCTTTTTTTGTTTTGTTTTGTTTTCCATACGAATGCGCTTACTCCAGCTGGTGGTACAATAGCCAGAGACGCTATCATCTCTTTGATCATCTGGGTTTAGCTTACTCTTATCTAATGTGCCTCTTTGTGTACAGACACACAAGTGTCTGAATACATTATCACCTGTGTCTCCCACGTACATCATTTCAGTAGAAGGTAGAACCATGCACATTAAATTTTACGACACTAAATGAGATGCAGTGTTACAATTTTGCTTCAGAATCATTGAGGTTACCCATTGTTCTTAGTTGCTGGTCTAGTTCAATAATAGACATAGCACAATTATTCCTAATATTTTGACCTTGTGGATACTGTAGCATCCAAATGGTAACTCTGTTTAAGCTGAAACCTGTGGGTGTTACTTGAAGGCCTTCCTCCAACTCTTCAGCTTAATTAAACATTTTTGGCTTTATAAGGGAAATTTTACATCACTTCCCAGTTTCAGAAACATATCCCTGATGATAAACAGACTATTTTGATAATAAAAAGGTTCTTGAAGTTCATGTTTGAATGCTCAGTATGCTCATTGCCTTACCCATCCCCACCACCCTGAACTCATTCCTACTCATACACTGAGACAGCTTATGTAGATGTACCTATTTTACAGCTATTTAGTTGTACTCTTTTCAACTCTACTTTTGAACCCCAATATCTAAGTTGTTTCTTTTTGCATGTCTCTAGATTTCTGATGGTGTTGTTATAAGAATTGGTTATCGATAATAACTTTTAGCTAATATACATTTTAAAAAAGATATATATTATGGAATTTATCCTTGTATTTTATCTATTTTTTATCTAAACATTTGACAAGACTGGCTTGTTCCCATATATTGTTAGTCTCACATAAGCAAAAACCTTAAAATTCATACCATTGCACAACATTATATATGTGTATTGAAAAATGAAATTAACATGCCAAGTAGTGCCCTAGTTTTGTGCTATGATAATAAGCGGGTTTCGTAGTAACTGTAACTCATAGTTTGAATGTTGAATAGTATTGCCTATTGAATCAAAAGAACTTCAAGAAGCTTGTTCAAACAATGTTTGCAAACATGTATTCTCACTTGGCAGTGAGGCATAAAATTTGAGTGACTGAATACTTAAGTTGTCATTGAGGTCTTAATTTACACGATTAGATAAATGAAATAGTCTGCATGGTTGCCTTAGATTAATACTTGTGCACTATTATTAGTTTAACACATGGTACATTCTTGCCTGGCATGTTCCGTTTGTGCTTGTACCACAAAATTTTACATTATTTAGCATTGGATAGGCTTTGAATAGGTTACGATTTCAAATTTGAATTTGCTGAACAAGTGCTGTGGAAGCTTCCAATAGCTGAAGACATTTTGTTGTAAGTGCATTTGGTGTTATTATGATAAAGATCACGTAAATTTCACTTGATTATTTTCACATCAATTTTGCAAAACAAAAATGAAATTGGATGAAACATTCTCAGAATAACACATAATTTTGCCAAAACATTATCAAAAGGGGTTTGATATTTAAACACATCAATAGCAACAGGATGAAATGGCGATGTATCAAATGTATTGAATATTATCATCAAAGTATTAAAGCCACTGACAGATTATTGGTGACTAAATTTGTTGTGAAATATGTTTCTCTGTTAATGCCATACAGTGCTGCATTAGTGGCAACCAGAGTGTGTATACCACCACTGCATATTTTATAGCGTATGTGCTGATGAAACTGAAAAACACTATCAAAGTAATGAACAGTCATTTCAGGTGTCATCTGTCGCATGAGAGACTTGAGGTTTCACACTGCCAGAGTTTCAGGTGACAACATGATATACAGTATAGTCATCAGGTGGCTAAAATGTGTACTATGTATGATTAGCATTTACAGGCTAACATATATGTCATTCTGAATTTGTTCAATGCAGAATTGTAGAGTTGAGGTAGGCTGTGTTTCTGCACAGATGGAGGCTGTTTACAAGGTTTATACATATATAATTAATCTTACCTTGGTTGTTACCCTGGTAGGAACAAAATTGGTAGGTAAAAAAGCAATTATAGGTATGTGATGATTGTCAGTTGGTCATCCAGTTGAAGTGCATACATGTAGGCACATTCACACACTCGCACATTTACTTATAATCTTTTATTAGACTTTAAATGTCAGTTTCTTAAAAGATAGTGAAAATTAACAAATTCCTGTAATACACAATCCTGGACATGGGAAGGATATTGACAATCCTATGTTGATTATGAGTATAAGGGAACTGCAAACTTCAGCCTATAGATGATTTAACTCAGTAACATACATAGTATCACTTGTGTGACACACTATGCATACACACACTCTCTCTCTCTCTCTCTCTCTCTCTCTCTCTCTCTCTCTCTATATATATATATATATATATATATATATATATTGTAGGTATTTTGGTATTACTAATTTTTAGTTAGTGCTCATTTCTCATAATAACTGGGTTCCAGCTACCCCCTTTTTATAAAAGTATACTTTAACCTTCTTTGGCTAGAAGCACATAAGTACATGCAAGTATGGCATATCAGTTTATGCCACCTCAACTCACTCATCTGTTTGAGATAATTCTTTTTGCACATTCTCTTGATGTATTTTAATGTGCTTCTTCAAAAATATAAACCAGTTATAGTTGTCATGTATTCACTGAAAATTATACCTGCCCAATTATGTAGGCGGCTACCTTCGAGGATTGAAATTCACAGGATCTCTTAGTGATGTAGAATCAGTGAAAACAGAGGACTTTGAAGAAGAATTCCAGGAATCTATGATACATGTAGTACCCCTAAAAACTAATTTTGCAGGTAATTGAATAACATTTTTAGTAAATCTAGGGAGTACTTAAAAAATTTATGTTCACTTATTTGTTGAGAAAGGTATTAAATACACCTGTAGATATGTCCTCTTACACCATGTTTTTTTTCCTTTTTAACCTTGAATGCTCTTTATGTTGTGATATTTATCCTGTCTTGTCATGTGGCTTTTATTTGTATGAGTGAAATACATTATCCTATAGCTATTTATTCAGTTCATTGTCATCTTTATATTTAAAGATATGGAACTTGCAATATCATATTTGTGAATTTATTAAGAGAAACAAACAGAATGCAAAAGAATATTTTATCTTATAATTTTATGAATTTTACTTCCTCATTTACCTGGAACCAACAAGCCCTGTTTATTGAACCAACTGTAAGCTTTGAAAACTGCTTTCAATGAACCTGAATGTCAAGTAGAATGAATATGACTTTGCCAAGATAGAAAGTACTTCATATAGCAGTGTCATATCTGTATATATTCTAACAAAGGTAAAATGAAGTAGGACTGAAAGTACTTGTGAAAAATTGTTTTCAGTAATGTTTTATACTAGCTGCTGCCATGTTTTGCAGCCCGTCCAGTGGGTAAACTTCATGTTTATAATACTGGTGGTAGAAAGAAGAGCACTGATACTGACTCAATAAAGACAGAAGACTTTGAGAGAGCTTTTAAGAAGACAGTTGTCAAACCAGCAGGTGTGAAATCTGTAATTGGTCCTTTCTTTGACCTGCTTCTGCATTTATTAAAAAAAATTCAAATTATGCTTTAGATTTGTAACAGTTGTAAGTTTTCCAAAATATATGTTAAAAATATTGCAAACTCTTTTAAATAGGTCTTTCCCCATCTGCTCTTAAATTAGGCAAAAATGCACTGTACTTTTTCTTTACTTAAATGCTGTAATTTGTACAATAGATGCAATGTATGCACCACCAATTGACCATTTATTTATTTATAAGTATGGACATGGAAATAAATTGTAGACCATGGTAGAGGATTTATTTCCATGATATGAATAAGTAGTTCTGCCATGGTGAGCATTTCTGCATATAATGGTGATTACTGCCTTCATATTTATTTTAACTATAGCATAATAATATTAATTTTGATTTGCGTAGGACATATCCTTATATGACCTTATGAATCTACTTACGTCTTATTGTGTGACTGTGATGACATCAGTGCTCAATTATCTGTGTGGGTTTTTCCTTTAGACTCTAACATAGTGTTGTGTGCATTTGTTCTATACTAGATGCTCTACCACCTAAATCTGTCCCAAAGAAGAAGGGGCAGGCAAGTGACACAGAATCAGTGCGGACAGAAGATTTTGAACTACAATTCACAAAAGCATTAGTGAAAGGTAGTTATGTTTTTCTTGGTACGAGTATAGTTCTGTGATTGTGTCAAGGCAAGTGTATGAAAATTGTTCATATTTTTTTTTACACAATTGCATTTTTCAACACTGCTCGCAGTGTTTTATTATAGATCTCAGATTTACTTAATATGTTTGAGAAATTAAGTATACTAAATAGTTTTTTTTTCAATTTCTGGTCATTTTGCATTGAAAACACCACAAATGCTAAAATTAGCTGCTAAAACAATGATCCCTAGTTACCACAATGTGGTGTCTTTCTAAAGACAATTGTACTGAGCACTTTTAATAAAAAAGGGAGACAAAAGAAAATATAGTAATATATTAGGAAAACGTGTCATGTTTAGGTGATTTCAGGCATTCATTTACCATGTCCTTCATAACATTTAGTCTGCCCTTTATATAATTGTGGCTTGAATTAAGAAGTCTGTTTTTTTTCTTTTCTTGGATAACTCAGTTTGGATTCCTATATGCATTTGCTGAGTCTTTGAGGGTTTTTCTTAGTAAAACAGAACCCTTATATCATGACATAAATCTATATACCAAAGTCGATTTAACGTTTTATAGAATGCACCACACCTGTTAATGCTGTGCATACCTTGGTGTATAAAAGCTATGACATACAGGCTTCACCAAGTTAGCACGTCTATACATATGATCATGAGTATTTGTCACATGGTCTGTATATGCTTTTTCTAATTAACATATCAGATGCTGCATTTGCTTGATTTGCAACATATGGTTCAGGTGCTTTCATGTAAAGGGATAAGTACACCTGTCTTGTCTTTGGTTCATAAAAAGATGTTACGGTATATACCACATATATTAAAGAAAAACTGACAATCAGATTTTTTAGATTTTTTTTTTCTTTTGATCTTCTGAATTATTGTTATCATTTTTCAGTATTAATGTGTATACTGCACTTACTTTTTTCTAAGTAGTATTTATTTGAACTTAAATAAAAAAGGTTAATAGCTTTTTATGTATTCCAAGAGTTGAACAAGAGACATGGTTTTATTTTCAGATGCATTGCCGAAGTATTTAAGACCAAAATCAAAACAACCTAAAGCCAGATACAAACCTAGCTCAGGAAGTGATGTTGATTCTGTGAAGACAGAAGATTTTGAGCTCAACTTCAAGTCATTGATGGTCAAACAGGTAATTTTTTAGAAAAAAATCTGTTACATGTTTAGCTCTTTCTGTTTTACAGGTTTTCATAGATTATAGAATGTCATAATCATTTTCTTCGCGACACTATAAACCAGCTAGTACTAACAATGTGGAAGAATTAATTTTGAAATCTGCTATCTGCGTGAACTGCAAAACAGACTTGTATCTTTGACTGCTGATGCACCAGAACTGTGTGGTTTGTAGATCTTAATGCATTGGCAGAATATAATGTCAGTCTATTTTTATTTACTATGTTCAAAACTTTCATATTGGTGACTAATTTCTATTTACAGAATGCATTGTGTATGAAGGTTTGTGTTATTTGTAATACATATATATCTTGAAGTAAAATTAAAGATGCAAGTTGGAATGAATTAATTCGCCACATACATATCTTGAAGCAAAATAGAAGATGCAAGTCGGGATGAATTAATTCGCCACATAGAAATATAGAGAGAAGAGAGGTTATATAGAGAGATTTTGATTTAATTTCAGTTTTTTTCTCCAACATATTCAGTCAACTTTACATTTTAAATTTATTTAAGATACTGCAGCAAAAAAGTTTTCTATATTTATTCATGCATGTATTTAGTTTTCTTTCACTGTCAAGGTCACAGTGTTAATTATATCGACTATGTAAGGCAAAACATTCTCTTAACTTAATTGTTAAGTTAATTATATATGCATTTAATCACTTCATTTGCCTTTACTAAAATATAATCTTGTGCATAAGAAAAATTGAAGCATTTCTCAATATTTTGCTCAGCATGATATGATAAAGTTGATTTTAAATATTTACAGGTTGCTGGTGTTCCTCTTACCAGTTTTGATCCAACAACTATTGACAGTGATATTGACACTATTCACACACAAGCAGTCCAAGAGAAATTCCAGCAAGCTTTAGGTTCTTCCAGATGTAAGTGGATTTTATTTCATGGAAATGTATCTTACTGTGAATACACTGCCTCTTGTGAAAAATAAAAAAAATAATAAACTGGATCTAAACAAACTAAATGCATCGATTAAATGACTGGCATGTATAGTTTCTTTAGAAGCAACTTCCTTTTTTAGCATGTATCATAATCTTTTGTCTTAATTTATGTAACAATGGTATTTTATACATGTTGTGTTGAGTTTCTTGGTATTTATTGCCTTACTGAAATCTAGGACCCACTGGCATTAATGTTAACCAGGCCCTGGCTGAGATGTAGTTGTCCACAGAACACAGCATGATTTATTTTTTTGATATGTTTATAGTGCATTTCTTAATTATTGTTGAGGAAAAATGGTCGTCTTGTATAGTAGCAACTCTCTGTTTTAGTTCTTACAAGGTCATTTGAAGACAGCGATGTCAGTGATATTGATGCTGGAAGGCCTACCATTGCTGTAAGAGGTATGATTATATTTTGCATTATGTCAGTTTTGATTTTGAAGTACCAAACCATTGTACGTTTGGAATAATAGTACCTCTTAGAAAAAAATCCATCAGAATTAAAGATGCACAGAATAAGACTTTCATGAGCAAGGTACATCAGGAGGTGGTAAATTTCATTCATCTTTGCGACATAAATTCATGGCATTTATCTGTTAAAATATGATCATAAAGTATTCCCTATGTTTGAAGATAAGTTCAACAATATTAACTTCTAATGTTTGAAACCCTACACTTTGTCACTTTAATAATTGTACTGGGCAGAGTAATTTTATCTCCCAGAAAACCTGAAATTGATTCATTGAACCTTAGGGCCTATTCTGTTCCTGAAAAGGCCCTTGGTCTCTCATCTATTTCTTACCAAAATTGTTGCTGACCAATTCAAGTGTGCTTCTGTTGTTAAACAAGGAAAAATGCAGCGTTGTTGCACTAACAACCTGATTTTATTATTTGATTGAATACAAAACCTTTATTCATAGTGGTATGATTATTGGTCACTGCAGAGTAATGATGTGAGATCTCTACGTACACCTGTTATTAGAGCTTATAGATGGCTGACATGTATCCTAAAATGATTTTTGAGTGTATGTTACCTTTGCTATGCTTTTACAGAAAACCTAAGTCCAGGATCTTCAGCTCATCTTCCAACTGTGGCAAACAAGATGGACTTTATAGCAGATGTCTTAAGTCCAGAGAAGAAAAAGAGTCCATTCAAAAGGCATGAAAGGTAATTTAAGGCGTGCAATGATGTTTCTTATGATATAAACAATTTATTTTTGTGAGATATAGAATATATCCAGTAGTTAACAACAATATTTCATAGTTTATTTGCTTATTAGTACCATGATTATATGTATCCCATGTGGCTTCTGTTTTGCTCAAAGAATCAGAAGCAATAAGTGCTGTTGTCTTATCATATTTGCAACAGCAATATTAGACTATATGCCAACATCTTGGGGCTGTTACATGTAAATTATATCTTACTGATCATTGCTCAGGCCCGTAGCCAGGGGGGGTTCAGGGGGTTCGAAAGAACCACCCTTTTTGCTGGGAAAAGGTCCACTCTGGGTAAAATTTGACCTATGTACTTGAGGATTTTATGGTAAAAGGTCCACTTTTTCAGAAAACGAACCCCCCCCCCCCCCCTCTGAAATTGCTGGCTACGGGCCTGTTGCTAATTATGTTTAACATGAAATGGTCCTGCCTGGGAGGTTGACCTGGTGGAATTTTATATCAACCCTGGTTTACTGAACTTTGTCATATATAATTTAAGTATATCTCAACCAAGGGCATTTTCTATTACTCTCATTTACTTCACATGAGTGGAAATTGCTGTACATGTCTTTATATACATTTAAGTTTATATATATTGTAAATTTAAATTGTATATATTGTATATATATTGATTACCTGTGAACCATTTTATGAACCATTGTACTGAAAAAACTGAAATATACATGGTTTGCAGATTCTGGGATCCATGTTTATGGTTGGTCAAATAATTTCCAGAGTTTATGAAGAGTGAAACTAAATATTCAAAGAAAGATTTTATAAGATCATCTGAGAAGTACTGTAAAGGGGCAATAAAATTCCTTTTCTATGCAGATAAGCTTAGGATTACATTTTATATCATATATTGGTTTTGTAATCTTCTTAATGGATACCTACTGTTACAGATATGTTATTACTGAATGTTGGCATGTGTATGCATAAGTATAGAGCATGAGAATAAAATCGGATAAGGTAACCAGTGGGGGTGGTGTTTAAATAGTTCACTAAGTTGGCATCAGTTTATCCATTGCAAAGTCTGTCTTGTCTCTTTGCCTGCCTCACTGCATTCTCACCAATATAAGTAATGTTTTATCATTTAACACATTCTATATAATTTGTTTTGTCATTCAAAGTAGGCACTAGTTCTTGGCATACATTACATCTTGTTGGGCTAAAAGGATGTATAAACTTTAAGTTGATTATAATAATCATGACTTATACCGTATTGGAAATAATATTAATTTCTAAGTATGACATTAGGAGAATGTTTTCATATCAGATTTCTGAAAAATGGATACATGAATTATCAGCCCTGCTACATATATTCCAAGGTTCACCTATCCTGTGTTCTTCAAAATGTCACACTATTTATATGTGCGAATGATTCAGTTGCATCAGTGTCAAATTTTTATCATGCATTGCAGTTGCAGTAGATGTACTTAACATGACTTATAGCATTAACTCTGCACATCTGAATAAATTTAAGGAACAATCAAGCACATTTCTGTGTATAGAAGCTTTAATGCATTCCTAGAAAATTATTTCTGAGAAGGGAAAATGTTTTTGTGTATGACCACTATTATTCTGTTTACTTTGTCTGTGCTGTCACTTGTCAACACATCTGTTGTTCACACTATAAATGCAAAATCATGTCTTTGTTGTACTTTAAATTATTTCAGTGGCAGGCTTCTTTTTAAAATCAGCTTGATTGTATTATTATTATTATTATTATTTTGTTGATATTTGACCCATAAGTGCCATATTTTCATTTTACTTTAAATTTGTTCAGTGGAGTCATATGGGACAGCCAGGTTCCTTTGGAAAATAGCTTTTATATATATATATATATATATTTTTTTTTTTTTTACAAGTGATATGTGATTCATGTGTGTGTATTTGTATGATATGGGCATTACAAAATGCATTGCTTGGTAGTTTAATCTTCTTTTCTTTTGTTTCTCATTTTTGTTATTATTTTTTATCAATTTGTATATCAATCATCAATTGAAAGATAGTTATGTAATATAACTACTATGTAACCTGTGGTGTAAATGGGTTTCAATTGATACATGGCAATGATTACCTAATGGTAATGAGTTAGGTTCTATTACATTATTTGCAAGCAATTTGTAACAGACCTATATGTGTTGGTTATCATATTAGACTCCTGCAATAAGTAATTAGTGACTCTACATGCTAGACAAATATGATCCATTTGCACCTATGTGGTGAGGAAGTGTAAATTACTCAAGCTAGTATGGCTTCATATAGGTTGAAGAGAACATATTCCTAATGTGGCTTTCTCGGAGACAATTATGTGAACTTAGATGCCCTTATACACAGATTTTAGATAAGTATTATTTCTGGAATGAACTCCCTATGGAAGATTAATGTGTTTTTGAAGTTCACAGCCAATTGATGACATAATCCAGTTTTGGATACAGGAAAATAACAACATATGTGATTTTCTACAGCATGGTCAACTGGCTTGCCTTGTCTGATCCACAGCAGATAATATAATTGCTTTAAGCTAACAGCACACGTCATCTGATTCTCAGTGAAGAACTATGATTGGTCATTAGGTCAGAAGCATGTGAATCTTGATAGTGTTTTTGAAGGAAAATTTGGGTGATCATGTATGGACATATTGGAAGAGAGTTATGTGTAATGACATATAAGGAAAAAGTGCAGGTTCATTGCATTATCTTAAATTGAACTTAACATTTTACATTTCTTTGCCTGAGGGAAGACGCCAGTTTGCTTATATAGACAGGATGCAGAGTTACATTTGTGTTGTAATGTCATCTAATGGTGTACAATGTATAGTTTAAGTGGAAAAAAAGCACACCCACGGAGTCGTTTACCTAGCACATGGTTATGGAGACAACGATACCATGATATACGCAGGCGTTATCAAACATCAGTTGATGCAAGAGGGTAAGAATAAATGATTACTCCACAAACAGCTTTTCATTTACAGTGATAAGGCACAAATGTTTACAAATTTATGACTGTTGAATGCTTTGATTTTCACCATACTAAACATCTCCTATAGGTCATGAAATGTATCAGAAATGATATTGCTGATTTTGATAGCCATTTAATGAAAGTCTTTTTCCATTTCCGTCTGTGATAAAAATAATTTACATTGAAGATTAAAAGATATGTTTTTTTATGTAAGATTTATTTGCCATTTATGTCTTTTTAATAGTTCAGCTAATAACAGTAACTGAAGAAAGAAAAACTTGGGTTGAAATGGTAGATTAAACTATTTAGGGCCTTATACCAATAAATAGCAGTAGCTGTGTCTGTCTCTGTCGTAGGAGCTGGTGTCATTTACATTTATTCTTACCACAACTGGTGAGCTGTTTCTATTTTGCTTCCATATTCACAGTGACTACTCATGAGTGCTTTAAAATGAAGGTTATTTTTAACAGGGCAGGATCCAATTACTGCTTTTTAGATAGTGTTGATCTTTGGGTACTGTATCATTTAAAACTGTCTTGGTTAAAACCAGGAGTTGCTGGTCGGTTGTTAGTGCAGGTGAAGTTTGAAACTGGGTGTGATTAGACTTTTTATGTGCAGACACAGATGTGTCTGCACATAATAGCCATCACCTGTTTGTGAAGTTTCATACACTTTCAGTTTCATACTAATAAAATGAAAACCATTGTACCTTTTGACTTCAAACTTATGGAACTGATGAATATTTATGAAATTCAGGTCAAGATTGAAAATCAGCCTTATTTGACCATTTTTACAAAAGATATGCATTTTTTCAGCATATTTTATCTACTGTTATACAATAAAAAAAAACAATTTACTTTTTGTCTTCAAACTTACATATTGAATATTCATAAAATATAGGTCATGTTCAACAGACATTTTTTTCAAAAGTTGGCTGTTTTTTTTTTCCAGAAAACCGTTACCTTTTGTCTTACTTAAAAGAATAATTGACATGCAGCTAAAATTGGCAAACCAGCTTGATTGGATAATTTTTCTTTGTTGATGTCTGGACATTTGACAGCTTTGGTGCCTTGTTTAAATGTAATTTTGGTCTATGATGATAAAGGTTTTTATTTGCCCTTTGTGTAAAAATGGTAAGAAGGTAAAGAGATTTTTTCCCTATGCCTAATAACACATTCTGTTTACAAATCATTAACTTTTTTATAGCTTCAGTTGGAAAACCAGTCTTTTTGATTTATTTATTTATTAATGTTTTGGAGCTTATACAGCTTTTTTAATTTAAATTTTTTCACATATTTGCATTTTCTTTGTCTACTGCCACAGATCTTATGAAAAACAAACATTATTTTGTAACTAAAAAGAATGATCCTTAGGATTGACATACAGCCCAAATTGGAAAAACAGCTTGATTGGATTATCATTTTTTCTTGAATTTATGCAATTTTTCAGAAATTTTCATTTTACTCATTCCGGCATTTTCAAAGTAAGTGTAAACTTGAACTGTCATGGGCCTAAAGCGTTACACTAGTACACATTTTAGTTACATCTGTATTACTTGTTGTGCATAATTAAAATTTGATTTTGACTTTGCTTCTAAGCATCACATATTATTGCATCAGAATTGACAGTTCCCTATTTTGTGCATCATATTTTCTGCTTTTTGTCTATACATTTGACAGCTTTGCTGTTTTGAAAATAATTTTGACATTGTGTATTACAAGCCATTTGTTCTTTCCCTTTAGACTTCTTGATATCATATTCAGTGCTTAATTATAGGTGCATTTAATCGATCTGCAGTCTTTTCCAAATATTTTAACTGAGACAGGTTGTCTTAACGTTTGTTAGCTTAAACTGGCTTGTTGATCATAGTGCTCTGATTATTTCATCTTCGTGAGTTTTTAATCATCTTTTCCATGTTAATATAGATGTCACAGTATTAACATACATGTATCTCACAGCATTGATTAGTTCATCAGCATTCATCAGAAG